AAGAAATCTCCAATATACTAAAGGGTAATACTTCTTAAATATCATAACACAACATCTCAAAAAGATATTATTTAAACCTGCAACAGAACAAATACAAAGACAAGGGTGTTCTCCACGTGCAGACGTCACAGGGTGTATGAGCACTGAACAAGAAACCATCACATGAGGGTTCATCACAGTTCTGCCTCTGCCTGCCAACCACCCACCCTCTCTCCATGGAGGAAGCAGGTCAGGTAGCTGTGAGGGCTTGGCCTCCCAGGACACCTCCTCTGCCTGAAAACATGGAAGCATTTCAGCTGGAGTTTAAACTGATACCACTGAGCAATACAAAAACATGGAACAGGAGACAAATATTCACACATACACTGATGCCTTTCTTAACAGCGTTTAGCAGTCAACTGCTTTCACAAAAGCCCTTGCAAAAGCACTGAGCAACTGCAATGAAACAGGGTGCAGGTTGAGGGGGGCACTGGAGGAGTCAGGGCATTTTAAAACTATAAAATGTGAAATTGTGAGGTGGTGTGGCTGCAACAGTGCCAGAGAAAACGACACTCTGCTCCTCTTGGCTGTGTAGACACCTGCACCAGACAACCCAAACGCCTTCCTGATAAAGAGGAGACACGTACCATCTGGTTGGGTGGGTTGCCTTCCAACCACTCACAAGAAGAGAAGGTTTGTGTTTGGCAGGCAATGGGAAGAGATCCAAAGGTAAGAGCATACAGTATCTTCTTTTTCAGGAACATCTTCTGAAAAATGACATCAATGAAAACCTCAGTAGAGACCTGTTGGTTCCAGGATAAAATTAAGATGGAGTAGGACCAGAATTAAATCTTTTGCTACTGGCATTTTTACCTCATTAAGTGTGAACAAGGACTATTTTATATGTGTTTTATTACATCTCGTTTATATAGTATATGTTAAAACATGCCTTGACAGTTTTCTGCCTTTATTCCTCTTTTGCTGCATTTAACATTTCTTGCTTGATTTGTGCTGGCTACTTTGAAAAAACCATATTTCTTACATTTTTTTTTTTTCCTTTAAAATATGTTTTGCACAATCAAACTGTTACACTTTATTTTCTATCCAGATGATGAAATAATTATATGAATAAAAAAACCCCAGTCAGGTAAGTCTTGGACATTTTTACCAGGCCGACTGTAAGTGCAAAAGCACTTGAAAAAGAAAACTGGCTTTTGTACTGGAGCTAGTTTAGAGATGAGATTGAATAAGTTAATTAATTTGAAGGTAAAACTTGTTTCCAACAGATCTAAGGAAACAGAAGCTTGGTGTACGTATAAGGGGAGAGACCTACTTTTAAAAGAACTGGTTGATTTTCAAGGAATAAAAATCTGTTGCCCAGTGTTACCTGTTAGGAAAAGACTCAAGAAGCCAATTGTCATTTTGATTTATGTATGTTACAGGCAAACACACAATTTTCTGTACATGCTTTTGGTTACCTAATATTGTGCTAGAAAGCTCTTCAAGTCAGTTGTTCTCGTGCTAGGTCAGACATCACCTCTCTGACACCACTGAATTTCGGGACCAGTTTTGAAGTGAGGACACAGTACATGAGATTGCTGTATTAGCACAGAGGCTCCTATCTTCTATACAATGACACATTAAAAGGCCTTTTGTGTTTTTATTTAAAAAAGTGTATTTTATATAAATTCTATAGTGCAATAACTTCCCATGCCACGCTACATTCTTTAGGTTATGTGCATCCCCTGTAAACAGCTTCCTGCAGGAACGGCCGTGGCAGCTTGTGCAACATCCTCCCCTCTCCAGATCTGGATTAATCTAGCTACTTACTCAAACATGGTTCTGACCACTCTGTGAACATCTTTTACACGTGTACATTCGGTTTCACCATTGAAAAGGAATGAAAGCCTTGAGTCACGACTCTACAGTTAATAGAAAATATAAAAAAATAGATTAATTGTAAATCTATCTCCCTGAACATTCATTTTCCAGTGACGTGAAGAGTCAGACACTTTTCAGGAGTCACTTCATCCTAAAACTTCTTAAGCTGTTTTGGAATCCCACAACTGTTGGGGACTGACTCCAGAACTAAAAACCAACCCTCCCATTACTGTTGTGAATGGCTGATACACCTGAAATGGCTTCAAAGTTTTAGATAGACATAAAAATATACTTGGGTAATTTTGCATAAATTGTTACATAGCAATTCATGATAAATGTTTTAATCAGGAGTTACACATGAGCTAGATACTCAGGAGAGAATCCTGTGTGTGCAGTCAAGACTGAAACAGCAGGTATCTAAACCTGTACTTCTGGAAATAATATTCAGCCTAGTCAAAAATATATCATGAAATTATACCAAAAGCACTTCCAAAGTTTGATCCTTTTGCTTCCATTATTTAAAAAAAATACAGCATCTGTTAATAAAGAGAATTGTATTTCTTTTGCTTGTACAATTTCAAAATAAATGTGCTTCTCTGAAAACATTTAAAATGCGGCAGTCAGTAAGGGCCTGTTCTTTACATCTGATCTATAGCTCAAGCTCCTGCTGATTTTCACCAGGAGAGGGACTCTTGCCAGCCCCACTTGTATTCCAGTCAGTCCCTTTTCCCATCGGGTTCCCATTGTTTTCAGGGGAGATTCAGCTGCACAAGGACTGAAGCTTTGATTTTACCAATATTGATTTTTTTTACAATTTTAACAGGGCAGAATCACATTTGCTTGAAATTTATCTCGGGAGAACTTGAGGAATAAAACCTCAGCTCCTGCAATCCGTCCCCCATGGCTCGGCTGCTCCCTTTCCACCCAGTGGCACGTGTCCGACCAGCACACAGGAGGAACACAGCACAGCCCCTGGGCTGGCCAGGACAGTATCTTCAGGGAGATTTTTCTGTGGATCCAGAGCATGGGATCAGGTCCCATTTGGACTTAATTTGATCTTCATTTGCCCACTAGGATGTAAAGGCAGATGGAACAGGCCCATGTGTTTTCATAAAACTGCACATAGAAAATACAGACCAACACTGTAGGCGTATAAAAATTGACTGTCATTTAGTTTTAGTCACTGAAAATATCTAAGAACTAAAAAAAAAATAAAAAAATAGAAGATTAATGACTATAAAATACTCGAGCTAAGTTTTTCAGCAGTGAGACACAGGGTGATTTAACGTTACACAGAATGCCGTACAGATTGGTAAAACTGCCTGCAGCAAGTTGCAATGAACTGCAAGTAAGGACAAAAAAAATCATTTTTGTTTTAAGAATTAATGACCAGACATTAGGAAAAATGTCATTATATTCCCAGATTTTCAAATGGCTGAAGAGATGCCTCAATGTTACCTTGTTATGGAAATCAGAAAATCCCCCAACCCGAAGGGCTGATACAGCCTGGGCAGCTGCACACTATTGCTTATGATGATGATTAATGAATTAAATCAACTTTTTATGATTAAGGGAATTAAAGTCATCTATAGGCCTTTTTATATTATGGCATAGGAAGCTATTGGTGCTGGATAATAAAAAGTAATAGCTTTTTTCAGCCAGTGGGTACTTGGCAATGAAGGCTTTGGTTCACCATCTTTCTTCTACAAAGCTGGAGAGTGTAAGAGAAACCAAAGGTGCTCTGCAGTGGTCAGTGCACTGAGCAACACTCCCCTTCACTTCAGCACAGGAGGAAGCCTATGCTCTGTTTTGGGACGGGCTGAGGCAAATTTGGTGAGTCAGGCAATACCTTCTGTCAGTCCAAATGGCTGAACTGAAACCCAGAGACAAGCTCCGGGTCACGGGACAGCGGGGGCCAGTCCCAGGGAGCTGCCGCCTGCTTCCTCCAGCAGTGTGGTGTGTGATCACACAAGGTCCTGCTGCCCCTACACAGCTGGTCTCCTGCACCCTCCCTCTGAAACTGCAGCACTGCCATGGCTGAGGTGTGGGCACTGAGTGCAAAGGAAAGGGAAAGAAAGCCCAAAGATTGTCTAGAAGCAAATATTGTTAAATCAAAGGGAAAAAAGAACGTGGGTAGTAATATGGAATATAATGATAATAATAATGAAGCAATATAATTTTTTAAATACCAAGTTAAAATAAATATTCTAAGAGATTGAGGACTTTGGGATATATTTGTATAGCCATTTGGCACTATTTATTGCCACAGAAATAACTCCCATGTTTTTTTTCTTTTTAATTGGAACGCCTTTTTTTCATAGTTATGAAATGCTGGCAGTTTTCTATATAAATATCAACTCCTTCATGTTCTGGTCATTAAATCTTTGCTTTTCCTCACAGGATCATTAATTAAACTGACAAATGCAATAACACAAGTTACGTAAATTAAAAAAAAATCATGATTTAGAGCACAGATAAACTAGAACACCATAGTCCTTGATTAACAGATATACTCATGAGCTTTGTAACAAAAAGCCAGATAACGTGAGATGCTTTAAGCAGAAGTTGCAATTCTGCAACAGAAGTCTGTACAAACCCTCCAGGCAGCACGCTGTGAAGGAAGTACCTGTGTCCCAGGACACCTCTGCCCACAAACCCCTGGTAACAGCAGCTTTCCCATGAACCCCAAACTATTTACAAATATGTGCATTTTTCAGGCTCAGAGCACCTTGTTTCACATCCCTCTGAACGCATGCATCGACATTTCATCCTTTCGTGTGCAAATTCTAAAACTCATTGTAACCAAGAAAGCAAAATAAATTAAAAGAGTTCAAAATCTGTCTACGGTCATAATTGAAAGGATCAAAAATGTCAGATGTTGCAGAACACTAGCTCCTAACAGAGCTCCCTCCATTTGATTCACAGTTCTCAAGTCATTTTTTTACCATTTTTTTTCAATTTGTTACAAAAAGCAGTCTTTTTTTTTTTTTTAAATTAAACAGTATTTAAACTAAAGAACCCTTCATGCCATGCAAAAATAACATTTTATGCACATTTGTTTGAGGCTTTCCATGTTTTTAGTTCATAGGCATTACTAACTGTGTTTTAAGAAAAGGTGTTTTTATTGCTTTTGTAACTAGTCACATGCTAGTTTCGCGTGTGGGAGAGTAACCAGTTTCTCCTGGACCTGAATGAATTTCTGGGGCAAACAGATGGTTTTCCATTTTGTGACCTTCTTGGTTACTGTCTTGCTGTACCTCACCCACGGCATGGTAAATGTCTTGAGTGCAGTTGTGGCTCATGCTTTTGGGTGAAGAGCTGAGCTGTGGCTCCTCTGTTAAATGGCTGCCATCCTTGTGCTTGTCCCCGCAGCAATTTGTCTTGGCCGCCTGCTTCTTCTCCTGTTTCACACCACGGACCTCCATAAACTCTTCTTCTTCCCCCGTGTCCATTTCAGTGAAGCTCCTCCTCTCTTTTAAAGGGAAAGTGAAGAACTTGTGTCTGGGGAGGAGAGGAGATGATTTTTTCGGATGCCCCTGACAAAGGGCCGACGCGTGGGCGCCGAGTAGAGGCCGTTCACCCTGGGGGGAGTTTTCTTCCAGGAGAATGGTGCTGATGTGCTGGGGGGCGGCCTGGGCGCAGTCTGCTCCTGCCGTCACCGGCAGCGGCCTCGCCGTGCTCGGCGGCGTTTGCGGAGCGCCGCTTCGACTGTCTTTGAAATTAACTTTAAGGGATCGAGATTTTAACGGGTTGCTACCTTTCAGGGAACTTTTGGGGCTTTCCATGGCAGTGTCGAAATGCAAATGACCATGCAAAACAGTTTGGGACTCACTGCCATCATTGAGAACAGCTCTGCTGACTGGATTATAGTCAAAGGTGACATCGGCCGGAGAAAATACTCTGTCTTTTGTGAAGGGTATAAACTGAGAACTTCTTCCTCTTTGGTTGTCTTCCAGGTTAACAGCATCAGCTGCAAATCTCATTTGCAGGTGGGAGCCAGGAACCAGAGAGAGGGGGGATCTCTCTGTGTCGGTGAGGTCGGTCGCACAGCTGGCGAAGCTGTCGATGCTGGAGGTGCTCCTCATGTCCATGATGATGTCCGTCGGCCCAGCCGGCAGCGGGTCCCTCTGACCTGCAACCTCCTCCATTTCTATCTCTTCCTCATACACAGGGGGCTTGGAGGGCTGGTCTAGGTAACCAGCATTAAGATTAGGCTGAGACTGAGTTTTAGTAATTTCGTTATACAGCATCTCCAGCTTTTGGGCACTGAGGTGCTGCGGGCTGGAGGAAGACGCGGCGTTGTTCAGCTGCTCATGGGAGTCTCGTTGACTGACTTCTTGGTACCTGTTCTCGTAAGACTTGTTGGAGCTTGTTTCAGACATCGTCCTTCTGGCCCATTTCCACCGGCTTGGAGACAAGCGGCTGTCATCAGGTGTCTCCTTTGGATTGGCTGCTTCTCCAGGCTTACCCGAATCCACGGCCACATCTATCATCTCCATACTGCGAGCAAAGGCGTCCTTCAGGTTCATGGAGACAATGCTGCCATTTCTTTTAGCTCGCTCAAGTGCCTCTCTCCTCTTAATGGCCTTCTCCTGTCTTTTCTGCTCCTTGTAAAACTCTGAGAAGTTGTTCACAATGATTGGTATGGGCAGGGCTATGACCAGCACTCCAGCGATACAGCAAAGCCCTCCAACTATTTTACCTAGTAGCGTCTTAGGGTAGATGTCCCCGTATCCTACGGTAGTCATAGTGATAGTTGCCCACCAGAACGATGCAGGGATACTGGTAAATTTTGTAGCATCCTCATCCTTTTCAGCAAAGAAAACGAGACTTGAAAATATCATTATTCCCATGGCTAAAAACAATATCAACAAGCCCAGCTCATTGTAACTCCGCCTGAGCGTAAAGCCTAACGACTGAAGGCCTGTGGAATGTCTGGCGAGCTTAAGAATCCTCAGGATCCTCATGATACGAAATATCTGAACAACACGTCTGACATTTTGGAACTGCAGGACACTTTTGTTGGACTCCGTGAGGAAAATGGTGACATAGTATGGCAAGATAGCCAGCAAGTCAATGACATTTAACGGGCCTTTGAAGAACTTCCACTTATTTGGTGAGGACAGAAAACGCAAAAGGTACTCCATGGTAAACCAAGCAATACACACAGCTTCGACATGTGCGAGCTGAGGGTTGTCATTTGGCTGCCCAAATTCATCTATTTCTTGAAGCTCTGGCAGCGTGTTAAGAGACAAAGCAATAGTGGACAGTACGATGAACAGAATGGACACAATGGCCAAAATCTGTAAAACAGAATAAACAATGTTTTGGTTAGACTGATACAAGTGTATTTGTCAGGGCTTGCTTCAATCCCTTCTCGCGTGCCTATGTCAAATAAACTCAGGACAGTGGAAGCTGCTTGGGCTGCTGCATTCATTGTTTTAATGTTTTGATATTTGCACAGAGGGAAAACATTAGAATCACCTTAGACATGGTCCAGCCCTGCTGGTATTCCTGCCTACAGTGAGCCAGCTTCAGAAAGCAAGCTGTGACTGGGCTTACCATACTCAAATCACAATGGTCAGTGATATTTACTACTGCAGGTCTCCTGGTGAAAGATGGGAAGTTCCTGCTAGTATGCAGAGCATTGCTCATTTGCTGCATTAAGTGTCATTTTATGAAGCTCCACACAGCGACTGGGACACACTGTGTGTGAGCTCCCAGCTTAGTACCACAGAGTCCACGCTCTCCTTGCCATGCATAAATTCATGAGCCAAAAGACAAAGTAAAAAAAAAAACAAACAAGAAGCACTGCCCAGGACACTACTCCAGTTGACCTGGCGTGTCCACACAAATTCCTG